AGAGGAGAAAGAGGAGGAGAAGGAGGAGGAGAGAGAAGTAGAAGGAGGAGAAGGTGGAGTAGGAGGAGGAGTAGGAGTAGGCAGGGGTGGGCAGGTAAGGGAGCAGACAGGTCTCCGAATGGAGGCGTGGGTATGTAGCAGTGGAGGATACATCAGAAATCAGAATTAAGTAGAAATGCAATGGAGGCTGCAAATAGCACATGTACAACAACTGTTAACTGGCCATATGCTTTCCCTAGAGAAAAATAATAAAAGGCTAACAAGCACATCTGTCTGTACAGGCCTCGAACGCTTCACTCCGTGGGTATCCCGCAGTGGCTAGTCCACTACATCTCCCACACCAGACTTTTGCTCGTAGAGACAGACGCTATCCCTGACTCTCTCTCTTTTTTTTTTCAACCTATCATAAAATATAACTCTTACTTACATCACAAATATACATTATTGCAATTTTATGTCTCGCAAAAGGGATAAAACTTATTTTACTCTTCACTGATAATGTATTAAAACTTACAAAATAGACAAATAACATTGTTTTTCTGCGAGATAAATGAAAAAGATAATGGAGGTTTTGTTAAGCTTTACATTTAGCTATACATTAATTTATCCTTTCTGGTTTCCAGTTTCTGGCTGTTAATGACAATATACAATGTAATAGAGCAGCAGGAAAAGCTAGCAGAATGCTTGGTTGTATAGGGAGAGGTATTAGCAGTAGGAAGAGGGAAGTGCTCATGCCATTGTACAGAACACTGGTGAGACCTCACTTGGAGTACTGTATACAGTACTGGAGACCATATCCTTAGAAGGACATGGATACCTTAGAGAAAGTTCAAAGAAGGGCTGCTAAACTGGTTCATGGATTGTAGGATAAAACTTACCAGGAAAGGTTAAAGGATCTTATCATGTATAGCCTAGTGGAAAGATGAGACAGGGGAAATATGATAAAAGCATTTAAATACACAAAGGGAATCAACACAGTTAAAGTGGAGTCTATATTTAAAAGAAGGAAAACTACCATAACAAGAGGACATAGTCTCAAAAATAGAGGGACAAAGGTTTAAATAAAAAAAAAACTATCAGGAAGTATTACATTACTGAGAGGGTAGTGGATGCATGGAATAGCCTTCCAGCTGAAGTGATAGAGGTTAACACAGTAAAGGAGTGTTTAAGCATGCGTGGGATAGGCATAAGGCTAAGCACTTGCTGCTAGTAACAGATCTAGAATCAATACACTATAATGCCCAAAGTCTCGACTTCTATGCATATTTAATAATAAAATATCTGGGCTTACATTAAAAAAAAAAAATATGTTAGTCAGTCTTTAATCTTGGTGGTTAACATTATCCAATAAAGACAGATTGGAACACCCTCCCCCCTTATCCATTTGTTAGTAGTTAGGCTCATAATGTTTTCTGGTTCTTTTCAATTAGATCAAAACATCTTGAGACCAATCTTTAATTGTATTACCATTTGTTCAAGAAATCTTTGTTTATTAGAAATTTCTTTTAGCATGTTATCAATTTTTTGTACACAAAGTTAATACATATTGTTACTTAACACGTGAAGATCTCGTCAGCCATGGATGGCCAGAACTGACACGATATATGGGCAGATATGACCTCACTAAGGGCAGAGTGAAGGCACTTAAGGACAGCCTTCTTTTGTTCTAGGGGCCATTTTCCTTTAGGGCATACTAAGTCTCTCTGGAGGCGTGGGTTTCATGGGAAGTAACATTCTGTTCGGCAAAATGAAAATCTGAACTGTGGACAGACTTGACGGATTAAATAAGACAGTTGTGAATATTATACATCTAACAGCCCACAAAGCTGTCTCTAGAAACATATACTAACTTCTATTCCTGCATCAGATTCACTCCCTAACCATCCTATCAATTTCTATTGAGATAACAAAATACACAATTAGAATATTTTCTAGCAAAAATTCCATTGCTAAAATCTTATCAGTAGCTTCTGAATAACTCTACAGAACACCGAAGAGACAGACCTAAATCGCAAGCATGTCACCACCCCCCTCCGCCCCCTCCCCCCCCCGCATCTCACAGAAGCGAGGGGGGGGTGTTTTAGCAGAGGGGTATTTGAGTGGAACAAGAGAGAGACTGCCTGCCAGCACGAATTTAACCATGTCAACGCTGTACAGTAACAAGACAGAAGGACAATTACATTACAAAGCAAAAACACAACATTTCATTTAAACCCCCACCCTCTACCAGGGTAATGGCTAACACAAAATACAAAAAAAAACCCACAGCGTTTTAAGATTGGGGTGGGATGGTGACCATGGTCAGCTACATTTCGGTCATTACTGACAGGATGATGGAAGTGGTCACCTCCTGGAACCCCTGACAGGGCACTGGCTGGGATAACTTCCCAGTAACACAATTATTATGATATACATACAGTTCTTAACCCTTTATGATTTATCTCTTCCTCTACCCAACCCTCCTGCTGGATAGCCTTTCTACTCTGTACCATGCTTCAGCAGTACGCAATAAATCATTATCTGAAAGCTTGCCTTTCTTCTCTGTCAGTAATCTACGCCAGCTTTCTGGCTATAATCTACCACATGAAGGCACAGCAATTTTACACACTTTAGCAATCTTTGCAACATTTTTAACCAGTTCTTCACCTTCTCTATCTTCAACTAAATCACACGCAAGCCAGCCCCTAGCGGGCTTACTCGTTTCCTGTCCCATATCCCCCTATACAAAGCGTCCCAAGTATAGGTAAAGGAAAATGAAACAGAACGTCTACAATGCTCGACTGCCACTAGGAAGGGTGGGTCCCTCCCAGTGCCTGCCACTAGGAAGGGTGGGTCCCTCCCAGTGCGTCTTCCCAAAACGTAGACCAGTCACTGAATCCGTGTACCCTCGATGGTAACCACGGATTGGAGCGAGGTGAGAAGTGTGTGACCAATCACTTCTCTTTCAAGAGAAATAGGAGTGGATAGTGTAAATAGTACAGGAAGTAGAGGAAAAGTAAACAGTGAAAGTAGAGACAGACCCAGGAGTTTGAATGACTCCACAATTAAGACAACATTTAATACAACATTTCAATTGAAATACAGTGCATGCATCAACAGTAATCCCTTTCCTTTACTCTTGTGGCCACCAAGACCACCTCCCTCAATCTCGTAGTGTCCCCGCTCGGAGAACAACTTTCATAAGTTTCACTACCAGCGGCCAAGGATAACGACTAACACCGGCCCGAAATCCATATGCCTCCCTCGTTACAGCAGTCCACTAAGTGTGGCCACCTCTATCCTCACTCCCGTAGTGCTCCCTATGGACCCACCCACAAGTCACACTACCCTGTGGTGATGGAGACAACAATGCCTGCCCGAATCCACACACCACAAATAAATTGGAATGCCACCAGCCTCAGCGCTCGAAGCTGGAGGGTACCATAACCTCTACAAGCAGAGCAACGTACACAATGAGGCTAGCTAGAATATCAAAGTGACGTAACCGGGAAACCCCAGGAGGCAAGTCCCCTCCACAGAATCCCCCAACCCTTCTTTTTCCATACTACTGTTAGCTAGACAGTACCTAAAAGAAGTAAACAGGAAAACAGGACCCCTTTGGAAAATCCCCACAGGTCCACCCCCCCTTTTTTAACCTTTGCAGTCTGGGCCAAGTGACTCCTAAAAAGGGGTAAAAACAGGCAACAGAAGACCCCCAGGCAACCACCCACGGGTCCACCCCCCTTTATCTCTAAAGAGGGAAAGACACAAAACATATACCACTAGCACACCCAGGCAACAGATAGACTAAATGCAGGTAAACAAATGGGTAACAAGACACCGGGCAAGATATTACCTGTCTTTGATGCCCTCCTGGGAAGCAGTCACAGACACGTGGACGGGTCAATCAAAGGGGCTGGAACATACCGGTGGCTCCTGCAGAAGTCTCTACCGTGTACTCAGAGGTGATCAGTCTCTCTTCCTTCCCCCCCGATTCCTCCGTCCAACAGCGTCTTCCTTAGGACGGCTTACCGGCCGGAGGCCATAGCCCGATACCCCACGTTGGATGGACGCCAAATTGATGTGGATTAATTTAGAAATAAACAAAAATGTTTAAAAGTCTATCTGTTCCTGTCCAAATCTGAGATGAATAAATTGCGTATACGCAGAAGTAAGTTCACACTGACACATGCAGTTCAGGTTAAAACCACTTCAGGAAATTTATTAGCATCTAGTTAAAAAGCGGGCACGCAGGCCTTTTTATATGCAAAATGACATCATCATTGAATATCAGATAATAACAAATAAAAATCATTAATTGGGTTAAATGTTAAGTGGCTATGTCAGTGTCCACCCATTAATATTATTAATTGGCTCAGAGATTTGAGTGACTAGTGAGGCACCCTCCCATCATGGGATGTCGTCGCCATTGCTCTTTATCACGAGGCTTACTCGGTGGAAAGGGGGGCTTGGGCGTCATTTTACGTAGTTAGTGATGTCAGTCTCGTGGTCTGTTCCAAGGTTCTTTTATGAATAGAACATTTCATTTTGTCACTGTTCTCCTGGCCTTGGATTATACTATGTTGCAAGTCAACGGAGATCCGCTAACTCCGGGGCTAGTTATGTCCTTAGAGAGAGAAAATACAATCTCTTATTCATTATACTGAATACTGTCAGGAAATTCTGTCATGTAAGGTGAACAAAATGGAGTTAGTACAATAATTCAATACAGGTTCTAATAAAGATTTTAATAATTCTACATCAACAGAGTGAGGGAGGGTGTCACTAGTGACAGAGAGAGGGAGGGGGTGACTAGTGACAGTCACCACCTCCTTCACTCTGTCACTAGTCACCCCCTCCCTCACTCTTTCACTGTGTCACCCCCTTCCTCACTCTGTCACTAGCCACCCTCTCTCTCACTCTGTCACTAGTCACCCCCTCCCTCACTCTGTCACTAGAGTGAGGGGGTGACTAGTGACAGAGTGAGGGGGTGACTAGTGACAGAGAGAGGGGGTGACAGAGTGAGGGAAAGGGATGACTGGTGACAGAGTGAGGGAGGGGATGACTGGTGACAGAGTGAGGGAGGGGGTGACTAGTGACAGAAGAAGGGAGGGAGTAGTGACAGGAGGAGGGAGGGAGTAGTGACAGAGGGAGGTGGTGACTAGTAACAGTCACCACCTCCCTCACTCTGTCACTAGTCACCCCTTCCTTCCCTCACTCTGTCACTAGTCACCCCCTCACACTAGTGACAGAGTGAGGGAGTGACAGAGAGAGGGAAGGGGGTGACTAGTGACAGAGTGAGGGAGGGAGTGACTGTCACTAGCCACCCCCTCCCTCACTCTGTCACTGTGTCACCCCCTTCCTCACTCTGTCACTAGCCACCCTCTCTCTCACTCTGTCACTAGTCACCCCCTTCCTCACTCTGTCACTAGTCACCCCCTCCCTCACTCTGTCACTAGAGTGAGGGGGTGACTAGTGACAGAGTGAGGGGGTGACAGAGTGAGGGAAGGGGATGACTGGTGACAGAGTGAGGGAGGGGATGACATGTGACAGAGTGAGGGAGGGCGTGACTAGTGAGAGAAGGAGGGAGGGAGTAGTGACAGAGGGAGGTGGTGACTAGTGACAGAGTGAGGGAGGTGGTGACTAGTGACAGTCACCACCTCCCTCACTCTGTCACTAGTCACCCCTTCCTTCCCTCACTCTGCCACTAGTCACCCCTTCCCTCACTCTGCCACTAGTCACCCCTTCCCTCACTCTGTCACTAGTCACCCCCTCACTCTAGTGACAGAGTAAGGGAGTGACAGAGAGAGGGAAGGGGGTGACTAGTGACACAGTGAGTGACTAGTGACAGAGTGAGGGAGGGGGTGACTGTCACTAGTCACTCCCTCCTAACTCTGTCACTGTGTCACCTGCTCCCTCACTCTGTCACTAGTCATTCCCTCCCTCACTCTGTCACTAATCACCCCCTCTGTCCTTAGTGACAGAGTGAGAGAGGGGGTGACTAGTGACATAGTGAGAGAGGGGGTGACTAGTGACAGAGTGAGGGAGTGGGTGACACAGTGACAGGGTTAGGGAGGGAGTGACTAGTGACAGAGAGAGGAATGGGGTGACTAGTGACAGTCACCCCCTCTCTCACTCTGTCATTAGTCACCCCCTCTCTCACTCTGTCACCAGTCATCCCTTCCTTCCCTCACTCTGCCACTAGTCATCCCTTCCCTCACTCTGTCACCAGTCACCCCTTCCTTCCTTCACAATGACAGAGTTAGGGAGGGAGTGACTAGTGACAGAGAGAGGGATGGGGTGACTAGTGACAGAGAGAAGGATGGGGTGACTAGTGACAGAGTGAGGAAGGGGGTGACTAGGGAGAGAGGGGGTGATTAGTGACAGAGTGAGGGAGGGGGTGACACAGTGACAGAGTTAGGGAGGGATTGACTAGTGACAGAGAGGGATGGGGTGACTAGTGACAGTCACCCCCCCCTCACTCTGTCACCAGTCATCCCCTCACTCTGTCACTAGTCACCCCTTCCCTCCCTCACTTTGCCACTAGTCATCTCTTCCCTCCCTCACTCTGCCACTAGTCTCCCCCTCTCCTTCCCTCTGTCACTAGTCACCCACTCCCTCACTCTGTCACCAGTCACCCCCACTCACTGTGTCTCCCCCTCACTCTGCCACCACTCAACCCCTCCCTCCCTCACTCTGCCACCAGGTACCCCCTCACTCTGCCACCTGTTACAACCTCCCACACTCTTCCACCTGTCACCTTCTCCCTCACACACTCTGTCACCTGTCACATATGCATTCACACAGACACTATATACAAAAAAGCACATGTAGTCATCCAGACATGCACAAGTGCATTCACACAGACTCAAATACAAACATGCATTGATACACTGGTCTTCACAATACACACATCCAAAGGAATGCCGTATTATGAATTATATTTAACATTTATTAAAATGCACATATATTTGGCCTTCAAAGGGCCTGGGATCTAATTTTGCCCGGGGGCCCCAAAGGCTCTCAGTCCGCCCCTGGCTAGTAATACAGTATCTGGACTACTGACACACACTGGACCAAGAACCACACAACGTTTCGACCCCTTAGGGCCTTTGTCAAGCTAGTGAACACATCTCTCAACAAACAATATATAGGTACACAAAATAATTAAACAAGTGATAAAACGTGAATTATTACAATCATATAATCAATCAATAATCGTTAAACAGTTGTCAAACACAATCATTTCTCCAATCAATGTTCCACATACTAAGGGTGTCATACATCCCAGGATTATAAGGTGTATTACACCCTTAGTATGTGGAACATTGTTTGGAGAAATGATTGTGTTTGACAACTGTTTAACGATTATTGATTGATTATATGATTAATTGATTGTAATAATTCACATGTTTTATCACTTGTTTAATTATTTTGTGTACCTATATATTGTTTGTTGAGAGATGTGTTCACTAGCTTGACAAAGGCCCTAAGGGGTCGAAACGTTGTGTGGTTCTTGGGTCCAATAAAAGTTGCCCATTGTTTTGGAACAATTTGGAGTGCCTGGATTATTTTCTACTAGTATATGGACTACTGACTACTAGCCCCTGCCTCTGGCTCAGGGCTAGTAATACAGTATCGGGCTATTGACACACACTCTTATATACTAGCAACCTGCTTCTGGGCTAGTAACACAGTATCTGGGCTACTGACACACACTCTTATATACTAGCAACCTGCTTCTGGGCTAGTAACACAGTATCTGGGCTACTGACACACACTCTTATATACTAGCACCCTGCCTCTGGGCTAGTAATACAGTATCTGGACTACTGACACACACTCTTATATACTAGCACCCTGCTTCTGGGCTAGTGATACAGTATCTGGGCTACTGACACACACTCTTATATACTAGCACCCTGCCTCTGGGCTAGTGATACAGTATCTGGACTACTGACACACACTCTTATAGACTAGCACCCTGCCTCTGGGCTAGTAACACAGTATCTGGACTACTGACACACACTCTTATAGACTAGCACCCTGCCTCTGGGCTAGTAATACAGTATCTGGGCTACTGACACACACTCTTATAGACTAGCACCCTGCCTCTGGGCTAGTGATACAGTATCTGGGCTACTGACACACACTCTTATATACTAGCACCCTGCCTCTGGGCTAGTGATACAGTATCTGGACTACTGACACACACTCTTATATACTAGCACCCTGCCTCTGGGCTAGTGATACAGTATCTGGACTACTGACACACACTCTTATATACTAGCACCCTGCCTCTGGGCTAGTGATACAGTATCTGGACTACTGACACACACTCTTATAGACTAGCACCCTGCCTCTGGGCTAGTAATACAGTATCTGGACTACTGACACACACTCTTATATACTAGCACCCTGCCTCTGGGCTAGTAATACAGTATCTGGACTACTGACACACACTCTTATATACTAGCACCCTGCCTCTGGGCTAGTAATACAGTATCTGGGCTACTGACACACACTCTTATATACTAGCACCCTGCCTCTGGGCTAGTAATACAGTATCTGGACTACTGACACACTCTTATATACTAGCACCCTGCCTCTGGGCTAGTAATACAGTATCTGGGCTACTGACACACACTCTTATATACTAGCACCCTGCCTCTGGGCTAGTAATACAGTATCTGGACTACTGACACACTCTTATATACTAGCACCCTGCCTCTGGGCTAGTAATACAGTATCTGGACTACTGACACACTCTTATATACTAGCACCCTGCCTCTGGGCTAGTAACACAGTATCTGGGCTACTGACACACACTCTTATAGACTAGCACCCTGCCTCTGGGCTAGTGATACAGTATCGGGCTACTGACACTCTGATATTAATTTCCCCAATATTTCTCGGGGCTACCTGCTAATTCTGTTTATCTTAGGTGGGTTGGAGGATATTTAATAAAATGTCAGAATAATTTTTTTGTGTCTTTTTGTCTTTATATTTATTTAATTGAGATAGTAGAAGTACATTTTGTCAGGAATAAATTACAGTGTGCTGTTTTAAACCTATTTTTATATATACACTGGCAGCTCCAAAATGTTCAACCCAAATCAATGCCCAAAATGGCACAGGGCAAAATAAATAAATAAATAATATTTCCTGTTCAAATATTACTACATAGGCACAAGTAAAAAATGGGCCAAAACAGATTTTAAATTGTTTGCATCACCTTAATACCTAACCTCGATGTTATTATTATAGTCAAATGTTTATAGGTAGCACACATACTATGTCAGTATGGTAAATGTGAACATTTCAGGGTGACTTTGCCACTGGTTAGTAATATTTATTACATACCAATAAATCAACATATGGAGTTATTCACTAGAACAGGGATTGTGTAGATATGATGGTAATTTTAACTGATTTAAAGATTTTGTTCTTAATTTGAGCCTTGATTTAATATTTTTGGGCTAAACTTTTAAAATATTTTTTAGCAAATACTAAAATATCAAAATATATATCATATATAAAAAAAATATCAATATAAAAAATAAATTAACATGTATAAAAAAAACAACATTAAAATGTTAACATATTTTTAAAAATATTAAATAATTTACAAAGCTTATCCAATATATTAAATTGAGTTCCTTGGTTATATTGGCTTAAGGTGCCAGCCAAAACCTCATAACATTACTACAGAGTATATGGTGCTTAGAGCAATCTAACCACTTTCTTTGCTGAGAGAGGTTTATAACAGGATTTATAAGACAACCCACCAGTGCTGTCAATCAGGCAGTACAGGACACTGGGCAGGGAATTAAGGGATGAAATCAATCTGCATGCACGTTCCTGTGTGTATATATGAATGTAGCATGTGTGAATATGACTGCGTATATGCATTTAAATGTGAGTATGTGCATGTGATTACCTTAAGACAGGCATTGGCAACCTTCGGCACTCCAGATGTTTTGGACTACACCTCCCTAGATGCTTTGCCAGCACTTTGGGTGTCAGAGCATTATGGGGGATGTAGTCCAAAACATCTGGAGTGCTGCAGGTTGCCTGAGTGGTGCAGTATGAGGCACACAAAAAATAAAAAGTACTGTTGGGGATGGGTGTGCCAAGATACATTTCAGCCCCCAGTTCC